CGTGCGGAACAAAGTCTTTCACTCATCGCCCGCTGCTATCCATACCAAGTGGTACGCATGGCAGAGGTCGAGCTTGGTGTAGATCTTCGCACAGCTAGGAACATCTAGGAGGTCAGAGATACACGGCAGCAGATACCTATCTTTCTTTGTGATCTTGTTGAGGCCCCTGAAGTCCACACAAAGACGTAGAGAACCGTCTTTCTTGTGGACAAAGAGCACTGGCACGGCGTGGGTTGAAGATGAAGGACGGATGAAACCGGACGCCAAGTGCTCGTCAAGGAATGTACAGAGAGCCTCAAGCTCAGACTGGGACAGGGAATATAGGGTGCCAAGGGGAGGATGGGAGCCTTCCTCCAACTCAATCTTCAGGTCATATTCACGGTGCGGCACGAGAGTATTGGCTTTACTCTTACTGAAGACATCCGCAAACTCGTGATAAGCCTTAGGAACAGTTGAGAGGTCAACAGGGTTGGACGAGATGGATGTCGAGCACAACTCTGCTAATGTGGACAGATTTTCCAGGCAGAAAGTGACAGATCCATCGAGTCGGGTGGTCCAGGCAAACACAGCCAGGCTGACGATCTCGATGGTGATTGCCTGATGGACGGATGCACACTGTGGGTCGGAGGTTGGATTCCCTTGCGTTGGGACTGAGTCCACAACTACGGGAGGAGAGCTCAGGGTGGTTGGACTGGATTGCTCAGACGTCCGGAAAGTTATACTGCTCAAGACCCAGTCAATCAACGGATTGTGTCAGGTGAGCCAGTCATGTCCTAGGACGATAGCACAAGAGCCATCCAACAATGTGACATAGCATGTCATCGGAGTAACCTCACCAGTGGCGAATTGGATGGGCAGATTGACAGCTTGGGTGATCATGGAGTTCATGGTACCGTCAAACAAACGGAGTTGCAGAGGCGCGACAGGATACGTGGAGATGTGGTGTTTATCGACAAAGGATGTATCTACAAATGTGTCAGAAGATCCTGAGTCAATAAGAGTGGGAAAGTTTCCAGATGGAAGAGAAGAAGGAAAAGACATATTTTTACGGGGTTCAGACCCCCCGGAAGAAGGAAACAGAGCAGAGCCGGGAGCATTCTCCCTTGAAGCAGAAAGCAGATCAGAGCCGGGAGCACACTCCCTTGAAGTTGGAAATCGACCATCATCAGAACAAGGAGAAAAAGAGAATGAGGAGCGGATAGTCCAGACGCGTTCAAGCACAGGACTCTAGACGTACGAGGAGGGTCAGCATGACCAACCGGTTGTACAGGGCCCGGAGGGTCACTATCTAGTTTTTTTCCTCATCTGAATCCACCACAGAATCCATGACATCCTCAGCCTGGGCTGCCCTAGCTTTGGCCGCACAGGAGGAGGACTTAGGACACTCTTTGGCCACATGCCCAGAGTGCCCACAGAAGAGGCAGAGGTTGTTCTCGAAATGACGCTGGCATTCTTCTTTGGTGAGCTTGCCACTCTTGTCAAGTTTCAAGGACAAATCAGAGTCGGGTTGCTTTCTCTTGGACTTTTTAGGGTCCTTGGTAGAGCGGTCAGCGGAGGTGGAAGGGTCGGACATGGAGTCAGGAGGATTGGAGGACTTAGAGTACTTCGAGTTCTTGCCCGAGTTCTGCTTGGAGGAGTCAGGTGAGGTGGCTCAATCTCTCGGACGGTGCGACAACTCGCCCTTGCGCTCCCAATATCGTCCATCGATATCTTGGGCAAGAGAGCGCATGTCATGCAGCGAGCGTGGCTTACCATAACGAGTGATCTCATCCTTGATCCTATCCGGCAACCCATTGTAGAAATGGTGCCTCAAGGCAACCTCACCGTATCCGGGTAACTGTGAAGCATTGCGATTAAACTCGACAACGTACTTGGCAATTCTGTGATTATCCGACATGGTCAGGGTACTTAGACGACGTTCAGCATCACCAAATGGGTTGTGCAGGCCAAAGTTCTCTTCGAGTTCTCGGATGAAGAGTTCATAGTTGTCCATCCAGCGTGGACGGCGATGCGGGTTACCGTGAAGAAGTTCAGGCTCGAACCAACTCAGAGCAATCCCCTTGAGGAATGATGTGGCGTAGATGACTTTGGTATGCTCGTTGACAAACGCTTGGGGGCAGTTCTGGAAGTTGAGTTCGCACTGAACAAGGAAGGTATGGAGTTTCTGAGGGTCAGTACCGTCAAATTGGTCAGGCTCACGAAGCTTCATCCTGTCAGGGACGCGTCCAGGGTGGAGGGGGCTCGGATGTAGCGCCCGGCAGAGGGACCCTCTCGGGGGCGAAGCAGGCGTGCGTACTGACAGGCCCGATCTGGGACTGTAGTCCCTGGCCACTTAGACTGAAGTGGAAAACGTGAATTGTTATTAAAAGGAAGAACTACACTACTTACCTGAAGTGGAAAACGTGAGAAGAAGGTTACTTCTTCAGTTCCCACTTCAGGTACATTTATGTACATGCGGCTTGGGTCACATGACAGGTGCCACGTCATCTACGGAGAGAGCCGCAGCCATCCAGGTATCCCCGTGGGGGATCCCGAGGGCATCCACTGCAGGTGTGTGTGCTAGGTGTAGCGGGAAGTCGTCCGGGGTGTCCGAGCCGGATGGGTCAACAGTACAATGATACAAGGGAAGGTGGTCCGTGTAAATAGAAAGAATAAACAGAAAGGGAGAATGAAATAAAGGAGAAAGAGGAAAGAGGGAAAAGGGAGGAAAGGGAAGAGGGGGAAGAGGGTGGATGGAGGGTGGAGGAAGGATGGGTAGCGGGGAGCGGGTGAGGTGGGCCCAGGTGGAACCGGGTCAGGCGGGTGTGCCCTGACACGTCCTACGGCTGGGGTCTGGGGGTTGACAAGCGGCAGTGGTCGAGCAGGCCAGGGCAGCAATAGCGTCCATCAACTGGGCCAACACATGGCTACCGGGGTCATCTGGCAGCTGATCCTCAGGCAGATCATCACCGCTGTCATCACCGTCACCACCACCATTACCACAGTTGGGTGGGGCGTCTGGCGGGTCCAGAGGATTAGTGGGATCAGGACGTGGAGTAGGGTTATGAGAAGCTTCAGGGTCATAGTCATCAGCTTGGCTGTCCGGATCGACATCTCTCTCAACAGCAGCCGCCTCATCATGGTCTTGGAATATGGAACGATGAAATCGACGGGAGGGTGCAGGAGTGGAGGAGGAGGTAGGGTCATCACAGTCAGCTGTAAAGCTTTGGAATGGCGGACGTTCAGAAGGGTCTAGGTCGTGTCTGCACAACAGTTCTTCAAGTGTACTGAGACCTGGAAGCCTAGAAGAACCAGGTTCAGTGCACGTCTGTGAACGGGTCTGATAAGCTCTAGACACAGTTCAGTGAAACAATGATAGAGCAAGGAAAGAACGTAAGAGCGATTTGAGTTCGTATATACTGTCAGGAACATGTCAGACGCATATCCGGGTGACCCGCAAGGCATGCGAAGTCGTCTGGGCTCATAAGGTCGGAGGGGCGGGACTTTAGCTTCAGCAACTCGGGTGGAGCACTGCGGTTTGTTCTTATGTTGGTGTCCCAATTTCAGACAGAAGCCTTACAATGAGGAGAGGAGTCTAGAGGGGGAATCCAAGTCGATATATGGACTGAGGTACATCCGGTGTAACCTACATGCATTATAAACACAAGTAACTAAATAGGACCGGCCCGGAAGGAGTGGCGGATCAAGCACGATATTAATGAATGAAGAAAGAAACAAATAGTTAATATCGGCAAACTTGGTCAACAAAAGGCAAGCAAGGAACAAAAGGAGGAACAATAGTCTGCAAGCGGACAAAAGAGAAAAGGCCATCTGGCCATCTAACAAGCCGTCCGGCTGGCAGGTGGACAACAATGAAGCGGGCAACCTAGGTTGGTGTCAGGGACTCGTCTGGGGTCGAGGGGGTCCGGGTATAGCGTCCGGGACCGAGAGCCTGGCGGGGGGCGGATCGGGCGTGCGTACTGACAGGCCCGATGTGGGACAGTGGTCCCTGGCCACTTAGACTGAAGTGGAAGGTTGTTATTATCATTAAAGGGGAGATATTGTACTGCTTACCTGAAGTGGAAGGTTGAGAAGAAGGCTACTTCTTTGGTTCCCACTTCAGGTTCGTTTATATACATGCGGCTTGGATCACATGACGGGTGCCACATCACCCTCGCACACAGCCGTAACCATCCGGGTGTCTCCGTGGGAGATCCCAAGGGTATCCGGTGCAGGCGTGCGTGCTGGGCACAGCAGGAGGTCGCCCGAGGTGCCCGGGCCGGGTACATGGTGGGCGCGCTGCAGATGGGTCAATTGTACATTGATACAGAGAAAGTCGTCCATGTAGAATAAAGGGAGAATAAAGAAGAAGTAAGATAAGGAGAAACTGAGGAGGGGAGGATGAGGGGGAAGAAGGGAAAGGGGGAGGAGGTAAGGGAGGGTGGACCGGCGGGGTACTGGGTCAGGTTGGGCCGGGTGGAGCCGGGTCAGGCAGGTGTGCCCTGACAGTTGGAAGGTACGCACGTGGGGGAGGAAGTGTGGATGAGGGTGACAGGTGGACGGATGGATGGACGGATGATGATGATAGCAGGCGGGACAGGCCAAGTGGCACTAGGACGCATTGATGGAAGTGACAGATATGTCAGGTCGTGACACCAAAATAAGTACGGACACAAGGCCCTCCCACCAAAACTAGTGCTACACACCTGGAGCGGGAACCTACAGAATGAAGAGTGTCAACCAGACAACTGGCTGAGCAGCAGTGGGGTTTTAGTGGGTATACCAGACCCCCCGCGACTGGGGGCGCCTGGGAGTCCCACACCACGTGCATAACTGCATTTCCTCACAGTGGCAGTCCCGGTTCAAGTCCCAATCTATTCCCGGGGATCACCGATCCCCATCACAAACCCCAAATACAATGTATCCACGAAAGCTACTGGGGTTCCACCAAAAAAAAAAAATGCTAATTGAAAAAATTGTCGAATTGATTTTTAATGATAACAATAAAATCGGTGGGGGTCCTGTAACCTCGCATTGGCTCGGAGTCATTGTTGGGTGCCCCTCTAGTCTCTAGTGTATTGTCTCTGGGCCAAATTTTCGGTTTTCCATCGGGAGTTTCTGTCTGGATGAGATGATTAGTCGAGCTGGGTGGTTTCTGTCTGATGGTTGCATGGGGGCACGGGGTGGGGGGACAGGTCTTTTTGTGTGTTTTTTATACGAAGGGACGTTACCGTTATTCCGGGTTACCTGTGCATATGTCCTTGATGGTTTGGTTGGGTAGATGCTATATCCATAAGGAACTCTTGTTGGTTGTCCAGAGGGTAGTTTTCCGGGCTGGTCGCAGTTGCGATTTGGGTTGGTGCAGGGGTTGGTGTGGTGGTTCTCACTGTTTCCAGTTGTTTTACTAGGGACGCGTTTGTGTCGGTGAGTTGTTTTGCGATGGCTATTGCATCGGCTAGGGCTTTCTGGGATTCGGGGTCACGGTTCAGGGCAGGAGTAATGTTGAGGTCTGTTAGTAGGGTGGCTAGTTTAGTTTTGGTTGCACTTGGGAGGCCCTCTTTTTTGTACTCGTCGGTGATGTCTTGGTATTTGTGTGCGTGGCTTACTATGTTGTCGAGGAGGTGGTCGACAGTTTTGATGTACCTTTGGTGTCTTTCGCTTGGGGTTGCGTCTTCTGCATCCCAGCTTATGTTGGTGTGGGTTCTGTATGCCACCCTTGGGGTGGCTGGTGAGGAGTTTGGGGAGTTGTCAGGAGAGAATATTCTTTTTCTCTTCTTGGGTGTGGATGGGACTGCAGGTGGGTCAGGGCTGTGGCTTGTTCTCCCCGGCGACACGCTTCGGGAGCGAGGCCTTTCTGGCGGAAGGGTCAGTGTCTGGTTCATGTAGCGACTTACCTTGGAATTTTTGACATCTCTGGATGGCTGATACCCTGTGTGCCGAGTTCAACGAAGTGAAGCGAGTACTCTAGTTGCTGATCATCGAGTACCGATGTTTAGTAAATAATTGCCTTTGGAGGAAATTCTAAGGCAGTGGTGACATGAAATATCATCTAGAGGCTCCCCCAGTATGCCCAATGTGGCTGCTGGTTTTGGGTCTAAGAGGTTCTCCTTTGCCGTGATGGATAACGACGTGGATGGCACTTACATGACCCGTTATCCTGCATTGGCCTTTTGCACCGTTCTGTGCCGCCTTCTTCCATCACCTTCCACTTTCCTACCTTCTTGCTCACAGTAGTCAAGAGACCATGGGCACAAGTCTATCTCCCTTCCTTCTCTTACGAAAGCGCTGAGTGGTTCGCAAAACACGCGGCTCCGCACCTAATGGTTATTGCCCCCACCCACGTTACCGAAGCGCGGTTCTCCAAAGGACCAAGAGGCACAAAGGAGTCGTCTGGCCAACATTCCCAGGAGCCATTTCAACTAACCTGTTTCGCCGCGGTTCTCCAATGCATCAAGAGGCATGCTTACGTGTCTGGCCAACAATGCTCGGAGCCGGCATCCATTGCCAACAAATCCAAAATGTATACTCCCCCCCGGAAACAGTGTACGAGTACCCCTAGGCGCTCCGAACCCACGCATCCATATGTTTTACTTCCCCTCTTGTACATAATTTTTGATCTTTTGATCCGTGCCCTTGGCGCCTCATTCGGGCAGCCTGCACGTGCACGTTAAATATCCAGAGCTCACACACACACACACACATGAAATATCATGGTTTAATATTCTTATTTCACACGACTAATCTCGACGGTAATTGGCGCTGAATGGTGCCGCATGGTCCTGCGTTGTTGCAGCGTAGATGGGACTTTGCGGGTGTTCACTATCCTGGGTTTTTCACGTTCCTCACGTGTTTTTTGACGTGCATGTGACACTGGCAGAAGGTTTCCTTCCGCCTGCTCCCTCAGCGCTGCCTTCGCGTCTGCTCCATCGGGACTGGTAAGTCCTCAGTTGGTTGCAACAGGGGCTGGAAGCTTATATGTGCGCCACAGACAAGTCGTCTGCATCTAAGCTCCTTTCTCAAGTTCATATTGCGCTGCGCTTTCAAGTAGGCCTACTTTACCTTGCGCAAACTCCGTGCAGGTCTCACTGTAGCGCCTGTGCTACTTATTTCAGCTTCCTTTAGTTGTTTTACCTTCTGTCGCGTCTACCCACCACCTCCCCTTTCACCAACCTGATATCTGATGTATCTCGCTGAACTGTGTATTTGGATAGTCATGTATTCTGTTGTACATTACAGGTCGCACAATGCCCGCGCCAATTCACAGGCCGGGACCGCTTGGTTTCCGGCCGTTTCCACTAAAAGCGCTTACACCGTCTGATTAGACTATTAGTGCAACATTTCGCAACCATGATCATCATCGGCCGCTTCCGAAGGGAAGCAGGCCAGAGCCAGCTGGCATCGGAACCCCTTTCTTTTGGGACTCCCCTCTCCACCAACCCCCTGCCACCGCTTCTTTTCAACTCCCAATGATCTTCACCAATGCCACCGCTAGTTGCTTCCCCCGTTCCTTCCTGAGACAAAGTGAGATGGCTGCGAGTCAAGGCTGAAGCATCGGCGATGACGTAACAACCTCGATCTCCGGGCCCTCGATCGTGCTAGGCTCACATCGGCTCCCGTCGGGTCGGATGCCACATCTTTTACATAGCATTGACCAGTATATTTCATGGTCGTATTCGTACTGATATTCCCCACCAGGTAAGGAAGCATCGAGTTGATTTGCAGGGAAAAGGTCTAGCAGATTAGGGTTGAATTTCTGATGAAAAGAAGAGGAGGTCGGATCCGGTGCATAGCCGTGCGTCCATTGTTGAGATAGCGCGAGGGAGGGGTGACGATGAATTTGCGCATGCGGTAGAAGGGAAAGGGAAAGGAATATAGTACAGGGGAGGAAGTTCAACGAGCATTAATAAATATTCAATCTATTTGTAGGAAAGAAGATAAGAATACGGACACAGACTTACAATCTTGTAACCAAGCACACATCGGTTATATTGAAAAGAAGTTGTCAGTACCATGGCTAGTCACAACTGCTAATTGCGACTCTCACCTTATCTCTTGTAACAGGGTCCAAAAAAGGCGATATCCCTTTAAAAAAGAAGTTCAAAAGCGCAGGGAGGTTCACGACGATTGCCTTCCCTAATCGTTCTACATAATGATTCTGAACAATACTCAGGAATTTACGCCCGTTTGAGATGGAAGGGCTGTTTCGCAGTGTCGTACTGTTGTAATCGACCAGACACGCCATAGATTCTTGGCCCGATGGCATTAAATCTATCGCTCGTTCTCTGACATTGATGTACAGAAGTATAGAGGTACGCAGATATTCCGGGTACGGTGATAATAAAAATTTAAGTACGGATGTTATGTGTGACGAATGAAGGTCTGCGCTCACATGTGGAATACAAGATGTCTGATTTGCCTTGGGCTTTCCTTCGTATTTTCCATACCTGGTCGGAGATACATTATAGGTCTTCCTTCATTATCAAATCCATTGAGGATAATCTTCCCAGTGAGCGCTTCTTCCTTGACCTCATCCGCTGGTATGATATCGGGCTTATACTCCCGGCGCTATAAAAGATCAATAGATGAAACCCCATCCCGTAATCATTTAAGGAAGACCAAGAAATTGGAGATGATAAGTTCAGGGATGTACGAATCGCGTGGTGACCTAGAAAATAGAACATACCCATTCAAGTGTCCCCTTTATGCGTCGCTTCGCCTCTTCGAGCCTCCACTTGCTAGCCCTCATATACCTCGCGGCGCACCCGGGATCCTCGAGCCATTTCTCCTCATTAGGATAATATGCATCAGTCTCCGGTAGCATCAACGTCTTGGCATACTATGAGTGTGTCGACGGGCCCGGGAAGTATCAAGGGGCATACATGCGCAGCATAGAACATTAACAAGCATGGGTTCCAATGTTGCCGAAGGGACGTCAAAACAAAGCATTCATTTCAAGGTCAGAGGGATATTGTTGTGGAGACGTACCGCTCGAAGTTCCTCAGTTTTCGCTTCCTGCTCTTCAGTATACTGCCACACCTTTGGCTTTACATTCGGCAAAGGAGCCAACAAAATCCGACCAGTCCGCACGATCGCACTGCCGGTGGTGACCGTTCCTAGGGGCACGATCCCAGTCCCTCGAGCTGGAATCCCTGCCAATTCAGGTTCTCCAATGACGCCATTACTCGATAAAGGCGAAGAGGCAGATTCAGTCCGCACATCCGAGGGTTCGCTACTGGATGTTGGAGAAGCCATGTAAACACGCTAGCAAGGCGCCGAAGGCTCGCTTGATTCTTTCCAATTGTTCAGGTGACAGTGACCAGGTTAATATGCAGGCCCTGTGACTCGTGAGTTCAAGACCCTCGCAGCAGTGGCGGGATGCTGGGACAGACTAATCAGATGTCAAGGTCCAATCCAACAGGAATTAGGGTCCCGGAACGCTGCATGAGCATGCTTAATCATCCCGTGTTCAATCCCGAGCTGCCGATGGGATTCTCTTGGCGTGCGAAACCTCGAATTCATGCTGACAAATGCGAGGTTTTGAATCAACGGCGCCCGTGGCCCGTCAACAACAATATTGGTGATATTCGGCCAACTCCTCCGAATTCAAAATATCGACGATGCGAGTATCCAATCCAGTATTACATGGGTTATGGAGACAACAATGGTGAACATTTGTTACGAGGCAAGAAAAGCATTGTCATGAACCAGGAATAACCACGGGCTAATGATAGTGGTGATGTTGAATAGTGAAAGGAATGGCAACCTCGAATACGCAGTTGTAGAACTCGCACAATTATACTTGAAACCAAGAAAAAAGCAGGGAAAAAAGAGAACAACAATACAGATGAGGGCATGCACATGTTGTGAGGGTATACTTATACGGCAGATGCAGCTATGAATTAATAATTTCCTCATCCAACTTGGAGAGCTGGACTTTGAGCTCCTCCACGCGCTTTTCAATCTCGGCGAGGGCTTCCTGCAGGCTCTTGAGATCTTCACTTGACGAAGATTCGGCTCCTACCGGCGTCCGGGGTTTGGGAGGCGAAAGCGCCGCAGATGATGACAGTGGTGGTGGTGGCGGCGGCGGCGCAGGTGGGTGTAATGGGGTTTCAGGTCCCGATCGAGAAATGACACCTTCCAACAATACCCTCAAAGCCTCCGCCTTCAAATTTTCGTTCTCCAGTCCAGTCCCGTCGTATGGCGAACCAAAATGTCGACGCTTCACCGCGACTTGTTCATACCTGGCATTTTGGAATTTGGCCAATGTCCAGATATTGCTTAGCACAAGTGCGACGATGACAACCGTGACGAGCGTGGGCCGAGACGTGTTCTCGAAAATGTCACAAAGGATTTCAAAGGCACCACTCGCACTTTTAACACCAACACTCCAAGCCCCAGTAAAGGTGTCCAGTGCCCATTGAAGACCTTTAGCTGGAGTCTCGAGCTGACGGGCTTTCCGGGCTTCTTCAGGTGTTAGAGGCGCTTCCTGAGCGGCAGGGATCTGAAGCGAGGTCATCTCAGCAACCGCGGCTTCTTCCGGTTCGCCTTCAGGGAAGAACTCGGTCTTATGCTCCTGAATGTAGCCTCTCATTGCGGCTTCGAGGTCCACATGATACGAACGTTGGCCCTCCATGGCACCTTTTTCGATCATCGCTATTTCCAAAACCCGTCAGCCAGGATATAACGAACAGATGATCCCCTTACACTTGATAAAGCTCCGCCCGGTCCACTCCACCATGCTTGTAACGATAACATTAGTGGAACAGGAGCCTGCCCACATCAGGCATGTCCTCGTCTTCACCGAGAATACGTTGCCGCTGGGCACGCCAGGGGTCTTCGCCGTCGTCAGGGTTGTGTAGTAATCATTGGGGTCGGCGTACAAAAATTCGTTAGTGATTTCACACTTTGTCGATTTTGGTCCTAAATTATTGTTGAGGGGTTTGGTGTACGTCATCGTTCGTGATAGAAGATGTGACCCGGTGGACTGAGGCGACCATTCCGATGATTGAATATCTGAAACCAAGTGAGCATGAGCTTGTTGACAAGAGAGGTCTGATCACACCAGTCAGCTTCTGATTATTGGACATGAAATCTCTCATGAATCCGCTGGTCCATATCAGATTCTGAATTTGCTCTGGAGTCCCCGGCATGACGCAATTCATCATTGTTTCGCTTAAATGCTGCCCCTGTCTTAGGCATGCACACTGCGTAGCCTTATGCTTCCTCTCCCCGAAATCACCATCCCGACCGGTCGCTGAGGCATCTTCCGGTGCTATGAAAGAGTCATTGCCAACGGCAGATCGCAAACTGACTTTCTCTCCATGTTGCAGACCTCCTCCACCCTGAGGCGACGAGAGTCTCCATATGTTTTGAATAACGTCGTACGAGGTGTCCCTAGTTATGAAGGATGCGAAAGTGTACTTCGCATTACGCGTCGTGACCTGGATAGCATTGGGAATGACAAATGCCGTCATTTTCTTCTCAAGAGAGGTGACATCGCCAAAGGGGATCGTAACCTAAGTTGAAATGTTTTAGCGCACTCGATTGAAATTGGAAATTGTACGTTCACCTTACATTCGTGACCCAACCAAAGATATTGGCATGGAAGCACATGTGGTTCTCGGAAATGTATAATCGTCCTTGAACAAGAATATCGCGTTGCAAGGCACAGCCATAATCTAAGGGATGTTTGATGACGAACAGAAAGCCAACATAGGATCAAAATCCCCACCTTCAATTAGATAATCATTTCCAGGTACGTCAGGGAAAAGGTCATGGAAGTCAGCGTTCCGCTTAGAGCTGGCAACGGCGAATCCAGTGACTGGAATATCATCATCATCGAAGCTGAACCCGTCCGGCGACTCATAAAGTTCATCTGACAACTCCCCTGGGTACCCATCTGGCTCTTCGGATGACCTTGGCGGGGACGAAAGACCAGGAGCGCTACGAGCTAGAACGTTGTCTATGGATGTTCTTGTAGCATGTTTTGTCCCATTTCGCATTGGTGTGGCGCCCTTGATAGGCTTGGAACCTGGTAAGGGCCTCGGTATGGGGGGGCTATTCTGCCCCCCAGTCGCATGGGTTGCCAGCGACATGCCTGATGATGCCAGCGCTCCAGCAATACCCCCGGCGGGGCCACTCGCCTTCTTGGGGCTACTCCAGCCGCGTAAGCCTTTCTTCTTTCCAGAAGTGGACACATTCGAACGGAGTGATATGTTATCAGAATCTTTAGATGGAGCGGACAGATACGCTGAGGATGGTAATGAGATCGTTGTCGGGGACATGACAAGCGAAGCAGGTGGTGGAGAGTTGTCGGGGGTGTGCTCCAAACCTTGCCGTTCTCGTACAGAACCCCCGTCACTTGACGCAAGCGACCCTCTACGGGAAGCAGGGGATCCTTTGGGCTTCACCGAATTCTGCGACGACTTTTTCCGAAGGAGCGACACAAGGGATGTCTTTCTGCTAGGAGATTTTGTTGCCTCTGGCCCCCATCCTGGGGGCTTGAGCTGTCTGTTGCTGCTGCCTACGAAGGGGTCGTTGAAGACGGGGGCATCTGGAGCGGGGCGAGGTGTTGTATCTAATGCCGAAACAGGTTCATTCCCTATGGTAGGAGTCGCGAGGCCAATATCAGGTAGATCATGTGGCTGTAGAATCAGGGGCGGCGGTCGGTCTCGGTCTGGAGTCGGCTGGCCTCCATTTGCGGTACCAACAACTGGCAAGGAATCAACTGAGATACGACTAGAGTTTGCTGGAGACATAGTTAACTCTGTACCCTTCTCATCCTCGCTTGTCAAAACCAATCTGGGTGCAGCAAGCTCCGTAAGAATTTTGTTCGGTTGAGCAGGTAGTGTACCGGGGGAACGTCCGCCTAGCGTGGCCGTCCTGTCTTTAAGGCGGGAAAAAAGACCTCCGCCAGAAGGCATGTTGAATCGTCAGCCGTGTGGGTCAAACGCGGTCGGAGGCTGGCCCAAGGTCGCAGTTCGGAGTTCGGCTTGCGTGCAGCCTTCAATTCACGTGAGCGGCGTGTACAGCCATTGCATTCATAACAAAATATATTACATCGACATGTGCACTTGGACTTGGCAGTCTTATGTAATCAGGGGACCACTTTGATTGGTTCTCATCTCTAGGAGAATTTCAATGCTACGTCAAGACATGAACCATTTTTTTCCTACTCGCGAGGCAGTTACTTTGAAATGAGAGCAGGAGGAGTCAATCCAGCCGACAATCCGCGCCCGCCAGCGTACTCGACATTCGCGCCGATCTCCTCTCTGTCAATGGGGTTTAGCCGCTACACTGAAAAATCTCCAACTTAAAACATACTCTATGCGGAGCAGTTGGTTGTACTTCGCCACGCGCTCGCTCCGTGCTGGTGCACCAGTCTTGATCTGGCCGACACCGAGGGCAACAGACAAGTCCGCGATGAAGGTGTTCTCCGTCTCACCGGAACGGTGGGAGACCATCACACCCCATCCGTCGCTCTGAGAAAGTTGGGCTCTATAAAATGCATGGATCTTGAATGTAGGGTCAAGATTTTATGGAACATCGCCATACGCTTGAATGGATTCAGAAACCGTTCCGATTTGGTTGACCTTAGGTACTGTCAGCGGGACGATCTACTCGAGTATTGCCGTGGCTTGCCTTAAGCAAAAGTCCATTACAGGCCTTCTTCTCGATAGCAGTCTTGATACGAAGGGGATTGGTAACAGTAAGATCATCGCCCACAATCTGGATTCCGCTCTCCTTGGTGAAATGGGTCCAAGCTTCCCAATCGTCCTGATCGAAAGGATCCTCGACGGACACGATGGGATACTTCTTAATAAGTGAGACATAAAAATCGGCGAGCTCCTTTCCGCTGAGATACTTGGACGGATCCGAGTTGGGATCTTTGAAGTTGAGATCGTACTTCCCTTCCTTGTAGAACTCTGAGGAAGCGACATCCAAAGCAATCTGAATCTTCCCCTCGTAGCCTGCTTTCTTGATCGCCTCGACAAGCAAGTCAAGGGATTCCACAGCGCCAGACACATTGGGGGCGAAGCCGCCCTCATCACCGACATTCGTAGCTGATCGAATACGTTTGGCTATTTCGCGGGCCTCTCAAAGCGCAAGACGTACCGTCAATTCCATACTTGGCATTAATGACCTTCTTCAGGGTATGGTAGGTTTCGGTTCCAATCTTTAGGGCTTCAGTAAAGCTTGTCGCGCCAGTAGGGAGGAGCATGAACTCCTGGAACGCAAGTTTGTTGCCGGCATGAGAGCCCCCGTTAATGACATTGAAGGCGGGAACAGGGAGCACATATGGTGGCTTGACACCGGCAAGCTCGGCGAGATGCTGATACAATGGCACATCCTGCATGTATGCGATTCATTGAGTCGGAACCAGTCTAAAACACTATCTTGAATCACCCACTTTCTCAGCAGCACCGGCTACGGCGGCTGCGATACTGACACCCAAAATTGCATTGGCACCAAGTAGCCCTTTGTTTGGGGTGCCATCGAGCTTGATCAAAAAGTCATCGATGTCCTTCTGAGCGGTAACTTTAATCCCAGATTCAATGAGCGCGGGCGCGATCTTCTCGTTGACGTTCGTAACCGCCTTGAGAACGCCCTTTCCAACGTACTCGCTCTTGGTCCCATCACGCAATTCCACCGCTTCATGAATACCAGTGGACGCTCCAGAAGGCACTGCAGCCCGAAAGCGACCTTGAAATGCCAGGATGAGTATGATCGAGGGAGAATGAGTTGGATCGGAGTCATAACCAGCCTTTCTTGGTGTGTAGGTCGACTTCGACCGTAGGATTACCACGAGAGTCGAAGATCTAGCAGCGAACAAAAGGTTTTTGACAGTATCCAAAGTTTACTGACGGTATAAGCTTACCTGGCGTGCGTGGATCTTGGTGATGGACATGATGGTCGATGAGTGGGAGATCGTGAATCGATGGCGAGCTGACGGGGCTTCCCGGTCCAATTATAAGTGGCCGAAGGAGTTGCTCGCAATGGTCAGCTTCCCGTTGGCTGCAGACGCTTGCGCTTGCGGCAGGTCTCGGTGCGATAGTACCCGTACGGGTGATGGAAAGTCGAAAGGCAATTGAAAGGAGAATTCCTGATGCGAAATCCAAAAAAATTGTGATGTGCTCAGCGAGCCGCACATGTGCATGCACAGGCCCCGACACAAACCACAAGTATGCACATACAACAATACTAATGAAGATGGATAGGATTAAGTTGTATGTAGAGGAATTGATGCTGATAGGTGAGCTACGCATTTTTCAGCAAGGCTCCTTGTCCTAGGGGGTTGATAAAAAAAACTTGACGAGAGTGAGATTCGAACTCACGCCTCTTTCGAGACTCGAATAGGACACGTGAAGACGCGCAAGAAGGGTTATTTCTTGAGTCGAGCACCTTAGACCGCTCGGTCATCTCGCCACTCGAGAATTTGGGGGCACCGCGGACGTCATGAGTTTTTAAGGGAGAATACTGCCAATCGACCGTAATTTTGCTCTCTGGAATGGCTTTCACCCAGCACATCACCGAGATCGACTGGCTCATCAGTTGGTTCAAAACACTGCTGTGCTACCCTTAGCTTCGTCATGGAAGAATTGCTGCTCCACGAAACCCACCCAGTAAATATGGCTATGATGTTGCTGATTCGGCGGGGTGTCAGATTCCGATCAAATAAGGACAATTATTTCTACTAGAAATACATCCTCGATATCCTAGGAGATGCAATAAGGAATCCGAGCAGACATCAGATGTGCGAACAAAACACATAAACAGCGGGACAGCGGGAAAGTTTCTAGTCACGAGGAAGAATGAGGCATTGTAAGTGATGATCTGAAAACCCTGTGGCTCACCTATACGGGCCGGAACCGATCTGGCACAGAATCATCACCATTGCTCAAGATAACTTGTCCGGCATATTCTTGCCTCAGTTTCACCAGGTCTTCAGGCAAGTGATCTGTCCAGGATTCGTCATTGAGTTGGATCTTGAACAGCTTGCGTTCGTTCCCATTCTCTTTTGAACTCGCGTACCCCGCACGGCTTCGAAAGAGAGAGCGAATGGAGTCGCTCAAGGCGGAGACGCTGCTAGAATGTGACGAACTGAGGAAGTAGATGAACTTCAAATTTGACAATTTGAAATCTCGTGGCACAACAAATGTCGGCTCGACGAGGAGGGATAGTAAACCACCGATGTTAGGATTGATGCCACAGCCGAATTGCTCAACATTTGGATGGGCATGCAAGAAGGTTATCATGGTTGGCGGTGTGAACGCGTGCGCCGACAGCCAGAGGGATATGAGAAGGGGAAAACGCGTCGCACTCCCCAGGGCCCGGTCTGCCCACCGAGTGTTCAGGGAGCGAGTGGCAATGGAGAGGTATCTCAGTGAAGGGAAGTCCATGTTCCAGATGAAACTGCGTTCTTCATCACTGTTGTCGGGGAGGTCGATGTCAAGAACTTCGAGGGACGTGGACGTGAAGGGTGGGAGGGCCTCAGTATGCTGTTCATCTTCGCTAAGGTGCTGAACCCATCGCAAACGCTTCAAGCTGGTGCAACGGGGAATAAGTTGTAAAATCCTTCGGGTAGGTCGCCCAGCCAAGTCGTAAAGCTTCAACGTGACCAGCTTTGAAACCATCTGATCATTCCAATCCATGGATACAGCACCCATATGGTATGTAAGTCGGTATGAAGGGGAGCTGACAGTGGATGGATCGAGGAAAGTAACAGTGTGGTTATCTTCATCTTCGTCATCATCATGGGATAGCGGAGAACCACCGTCCCACGCGAACTCTCGGAGATTCGACATGGGTACATGTAGCGGAAAGATGGCCTTCGCCGTTGCATGCTGAGAAGTGGATATTGAGAGCCGTGTGCATCGCTTCAAATAAGGCTCGATCTCCTTGATCCATTCGCCAAGTCTCTCCCTGCTCCATTTAATGAACGTATTGTCCACAATAAGATGTAGTCGTAGAGGGGCCACTTTAGATCTTTTCAAGTATGCACTCATTCGCGGATCATAATGACCGGCACTAATAGCTATTTGCGTCCAGAGGAATGAAGCAGCCAAAGCGACTTCTCTCCAGTGGTGGCAGACTGAGGTAACAGTGGCGAGAAAGGCATATTCTTGGTCTCGTGCGTCGCCTGTCTGGGCACCAAGGCGGAAAATCTCCGCAAGAAGCCGATCAGGTAGTCGGTGGGTGGGAGAAGAGGCATTCAAGGAACGATTGAGTCCACATTGGGCCAAGGCTAATTCTCCTTCGACACTACTCAGGGTTTCTTGAATTACGGAAATTTCGGATCTTAACGCATATAGCCGTGCGTGCCATTTCCCGGGTCCAGAATTATTGAGCACCCTACACTAACTTCTGGCTGAGATTGTGGATTTATTTGAGGGCAAAACGCACTGACTCTGAAGCCGTGACTTCTGCAATCCGACCGTTGATTCCCTCTTTGCTCAGCGCCAAACGGGCCTTTAGCGACCGGATGAGCGAGCGCTTGACACTAAAATGACCAGGTAATGCCATCAGTCCACGCTTGCGCAAATCTCTTGTCCGGCATACCTCTCATTATCGGCCATCTTCATCCGTGCTAAACTGGCAATCCGAAGGCTCAGAATGTCCCAGCAGCTGCACACAATAGAAATGTGTGAGGAATCACTGATCCGAACACTGGAACCTCAAGTGCTTTGCGAGCAGGGCCCGGATTCTTCCAGGGATGAAGTCATGTGACTGGCATGGCGTGGGATAGTTTAGCTGAACAAAGCGCTCAAGCGCTTTGGTAGCACTTGTGGACACCTCATTCTGGGAAAACTCCCTACTTCCTCTCTGTGAGAGTCGTCCCTGCTCTCTCTTGCGTTTTGAATCGTATCATCTGGCCGCTGGGGTTTTGATTGCACCCTGTGATTCCCTCGGTGATCGGGGAATATTTGGCCCCATAACTTAGGCGGGCACCCCCGACAGTCACAATCCCTGAGATGAGCATTCGCACCTGACCTGGCCATTGGCCCTGTACAATCACTCATTCGAGGGTGATATACGGTCATTGAGTGAAAATAATGTATTACTGTAACGAAGAAAAGTCCCGCTGAATTATACTGCAAGATTTGCTCCTTAAGTGCTCTGTCTCTCAGAAGAGATTCCTCTTCATTGATGGCCAAGTCGTTTGGTGCCCTAACATTGGGCCCCTTTTCAGGGCCACCTAAATTGAGGCCTGATGAAACGCTTTGCAAGCGGATTGCCGGAACATTCCCTCTTCCCTGGATTTTCATTCAAGGCGCATGCTTTGGGAGCCTTTTGTTCGAGGGGCCATTGTTTATATCGAAGGCAGGTACCAAGCTTTGTGAACATCTTAAAAACTCAGACCCGTCACTGAGGCAGCCCCCATCACCCTGCACTTCAACCAGCGACTCACACTTTCGACATGTTTGAGCAATTTTTCGATTCCTTCCGAGGGACACAGAACCCATTTATTTTCGGAGAAGACCTGAGCATGGCCAACCCCACTGTTCGTCGTCCATCACCTGACACGTATGAGAGTTCATAGCTCGAAAACGATGGCTCACTGAGTAAATTCTGGATAGCAACCAATTGACACACGGTTCCCTCGTGTCTCTTCTCCCAAATTATGAAGATATTGTCATCCCAGAGCAGTCAGAATGGTAAGCCAGAGGCCATCCTTGTTCGTCGCAGTCAGCTCTTGAGTGTGTTACAATATTAGTCCGCCTACTCTTTGGGACCTCTACACCGAGATAACGTACGTAAGAAATGCCTTCATCCATGCAAAAACTATGTGTTAAATCGCATTGTTACCAGGCTACCATATAACAATGCAGGAGGCTCTCGTTTGCTCCCCTTACGCGCGCTGTCAGTGGAAGCCTCCGCAGGCTCTTGGGATTACAGACACGGAACGTGCGGACCGTTGTCGATGTTCTCCTCCCCTTCCGGCACCAGTCCCAATCCAACGCGGGGCATACAATCTGAGTACGCAGGAGAAGACCCCGACGTTGAGGGTGAACCAAATCCCTGGTATGGGCTGTCATGCTCCGCGCCCGCGCCAGGTCTGCCCCAGCCATCATCCCAAGGGACCCGAGTGGGCTCCTGCCGGTGTTCGGACTCGAATCCTCCAATTCCCTCCAGTTCGTCAACTCCGGACAACACACCGAACAGTCCTTCGTCAGATTTCTCTGACCTTCCCTTCATTCCCCGAGCACTCTATGCCTACGGTGTTAAGAGAGATGCAAAGGCTAAAAAGGCTATCGGAATAAGCACAAACGATCGCCGACCGTGCCCGTTATGTTCTGACAATTTCCACAAGTCAAGATCTGCTTCATCATCGAAGGAAAATGATTGGTGGAGGCATCTCCAGCAGGTGCATCTCAAGAACGATACGATCTCATACATTGCGAAAAACCAACGCATCGACATTGTTGCGCTTCTGTTCTTTGCAACCCTTCGGGTCCGTTTCGAGGAGCGCCACGATGAACAATGGTTGGAGCCCACTCGCGAAGAGCACGACGAGATCACGGCGTTCTACTCGATGTACGGTGAAGATCGAACAGCTGGACCAATCATCAGTACGATCGAGGAAGGAAAGGGGTCTTATCCCAGGTTAATGGCTCGACTCGAATCTTTCATCCCTTCCTGGTGTGGTCACTTCATCTGTCCATCGTGCGAGGCGCCGATAGGACGCGATCGGGCCAAAGATCGCCACCCTCCCGGCCACTGTAATGGGAGAGGGGGAGCTCTGCCTCCTCCAGAATTTACGCCATGGCCACTGCACCCTATGGCACCTGATGAACAGACTGCCAAACGCCCCCGCCCCTCTCCAAATCCCGATGGTGATGATTGCACCCCTCGACGGAAGAAGCCGTGCAAACGAAACCGTGGAAATTGAATGCTCCAGCATCACTATTAATCCCCCGTTGCCGCTCTCGAAAAAGTGCCTCTCCAGGTTTTGTTTCAGTTGTGTAGACTTGCTCATGGCACTTCGTACTTATTGGTTGAATTAGGATCTTACCAAAACGGACCAATCAATATATAACCTTGTAGCACTAACTATAATGTCGCCCTTTGGGATTGCGCTTATATTAGGTGTACAAGTTGCAAGTCAGTTTTCATGTAGTGCATCATCACATCCCGTCTATCAGAGACTTGAGCTTGGTTCCACTTAAAATCTCGAAGCCCTTTTCCTTCGTTACCTGCCAGGTAAAGGTTAACTTCCAGACCGATTTGACTATGGGGAACAGACTTGCCTGGGCGAGCTGAACGTTGTGCTGATCTAGTTTTTCTTCCATCACTTGTTTAAGAACGCGTAATGTGAGAGTATGTGCCTCATCCAACGTCATGTGCTGTGGGCACATTGGCTGAGTGTTGAACAACGCAAATCAAATTGTCTAGTGGTACCGACCTTATGATATTTATCCTGAATCTCACTCTGAGCAGCCTCTGAACCACTCCCTATGGCCTTTGCCTCATATTTCGTGAAGGTCCCTGAGGGATCAGTGTGATACCTTAATGCAATGAGCAGACAAATTATCGTAACATGAAAAGCGGCTTACAGTTGAGGCCCAAGCTCGTCAATTCCGGCAATCAGCAGCGCAACCCCAAACGGCCGACTCTGTGCGTGTCCAAGGCGTTTAGGAACTCCCAAAGCAAGCGCCGATGACATACCATCAACGCCTCGTCACCATGTACTCCCTCGCCAAATCGCAGTGCAAGGTCACAAACCGCTTGCGTCACACTCTCCACTTTGATGGGCTCATCATATGTGAAACGGTGGTTCTGCGATGTAACCCTGGCGTGATCGATAATGGTGCGCGCGTCTGCAGTGAGACCTGACATGGCACAGCCCAGATGAGTGTCTATCTCCATGATTTTCTCGATAGATGATGATTCGATTAATGATGACTGGACTCGCTTTTCGACCCCAAGAGTCACGCCTTCTGGGGTAACAATCCCCACAGTTGTGGATCCAAGCTGTGAACAATTATTACGCAATTCATGCACCAAAAAACATGGCATACCTTGATCGCCTCGATAGCATATTCAACTATGCGGAATTTAGTCTTGGACAAAAACCGCGACTTGGGTGCTAACCTTGGAACAAGCGGCCTTCCGGCGAGAATGTGTTAACACCCCGATCTAAAAGTAAGGGAAAGAGGCTTATTTCGATGCTACAGGTGTGGACACTTGAGCAGCGTACCATATTCTGAGCGGGTTAAGAACATAGTTATTGGACGTGAGGACGCGAGTCCTTGGACGCGTGTGCGCGTGACTGTATCACATGACCTGGGACGTGAATTCAGATTCATATGAGCATGGTTCCGCGTTCGAGTCAATTTCCCACCTTTGGTTTGCACTTGCCACTTATCTTGTTTGGAGTATGTTTGTGCTTCAACCCAAGCATTGTCACAAAGCAAGTGTGTTTACGCTCGAGTTGCTCGAGTGAATTCTGCGCCATCGAAGGTTGGCTGCAGCATGCAGTTGGGAGCATCAATGCTGGCGAGAGCGGCAGTCATACCATACCTGCCTCTCTCACTCTGTTTATAATGATACGTCAATACCAGAGGGTTATCCGCCTGTCCTCCGCGACTTAGTAATAGTTGATCCTAGGCAGGTGACCAACCTCTCTTTAACGGGAAGTTCAGGAAACCATAGAAAAGGAATATATACCTCACGAGTGGACACAAGAAAGGAGTATCGCACAGATAATATTATTTCGACTCAAAATTTCGCTGACCGCGGACTCGGACGGCTGAGCGGATTCTCGACTATTTTAGATGCATGCTTAGGATTCCACTCTTTCCTGTTACTTCATGTATACGTATTACAGAAATGAGTGCAGTATTTCAATCATAGGCTGCAATGCACTCAACCTCAATGAGTACGTCTCTTGGCAGACGAGCCACTTCCACAGTCGAACGAGCTGGCTTGTGACGTCCAAAATATTCAGCATAGACACCATTCATCTCTGCAAAATTCTCCAGATTCTTAAGGAATACCTATGCCCAGACAGGCAATTATTTAGCTAAAGTCTACTAGACACCCTGATAGAGTCGACGCACAGTAGTCTTGACGACACGATCCAATGAGCTTCCTGAAGCCTTTAGCACTGCATCTACGTTCTGCAAGACTTGTTTCTTGAAGGTAATTAGTCACCATACGGAAATCAACCAACCTCTTTATTGCACGTACCGTTTGCTCCTTGATACCACCCTGGACAATTTCTCCTGACGAGGGGATGGCGGGTATATTTCCCGATAAGAATACATATGGTCCAGCCTTTATGGCTTGAGAATATGGACCTATTGCGCCAGGAGCATCTAGATCGCCGGTGGGGCGAACAATGATGGAGGGTCAGTTCACTTCAGGGTACCGATCTGGAATCACACGTGTAACCTAATGTTGACACTTCTGTTATTTCTGTAGGCATAGAATAAACGCAACCTAACAATGGAGCTTTTATGAGGAAGTTTCTTGGCCAACAAGGCTCGAGGGGTCAAATGCAGTTGAGATCGCAGCGGAAATCTCATTTTATGATATGTATTGATTGGACACGTTATTTACTCAGCCCGCGTGATCCTTAAATACATAAGTAGCACCCGGAGAGGTCCGGGAATCCCAAACAACACGGACAACGCGTCGCAACGCGTTCAACAAGGCGAACTTCGTCCGTCTCTCGATTGCTTTGTTATGCCGATTGAGAGACGGATGTTGGGGATTGCAGAAGACGCGAAGGCCACGGTTTACAACCCTACGATATGTTAATGTCTGCCCACCGACGCCAGAAGCTGGTCGCTCAGCTGAGGAGAATGACTCACAGAGGGTTCTATGTACTCAACAATCAACGCAGTCGGCGGCCCTAGGAATCTCGGCTCACATCACACGCGTTTGCACGCCGGAACCACGGCTAGAGCATCTTACTGTTCGTCATGTCGCCGTGTTGGAGCGCGCCTTCACCCAAGACCATAACCCCACGCATGCGCAGGAATGCTTGATAGCTAACCATCTCAATGTGTAAGCTAGGTCTAAGCCCTGCATGTTACCTTGTATCCTATCCATTTCCACAGTGAGGTGCGCGCTGTCAAAGCCTGGTATCAATTTCAGAACTAGCAATTTCCGGAGAGCTCATTCAGCAGAAACGTTGAGAGCCCGTCAGCAGCATTTTCCTACATTGGATGAAGTTGCATGCACGAGAGAGCTACCCCAACCCCGTCCCCGATCTGCTTACAACACGTCTTACCACCCCCAACACGCGCGTTATATCTGGGAACATATGGTATCTTCGCCTCCTAGCTCTCCCCCACCAGTTCATCGGCACAAGAGCCCCTCTCCTCCCACTTCGTCCGTGCATATGCCTGCTTTTAACTCCAGCTCGTTCTCATCACTGAAACGGAAACCTAATGTCACTATGGAATGGGCGTGTGCAAACGTGTCTTCGGCTTCTTGTACAGAAGAGACAGACCAGGAAGTCCTGACGCCGTCCGATTGCCAATCACTCGCATCAATTCCAACCACCTCCACTCGCTTGCCAGAACTGACACCATACGGGCCCCCGTTGCCTTCCAAGGCATTAGAGAAGCCCTACGGAAACTCGCGCACACTTTCTCGATCACACACTCTCGGTTCCAAAAGCTTCTCGACGCTGCGTATTCCGTCGACGCTTCAGATACGCACTGTGCGCAATGCTCAGGGGACCCCAATCGTACGAGCATCATCCACCCCTTTGCTCCCCGTATCAACCTCCAAGAAGCGTACACATCAAGAACGATCTGCTTCCGGTGGTTCAACGAGGCAAAAAGAGATGGATGCAGCACTTGCTCTTTGTGGGCTGTTGTCTTCTTGAGTGAATACAGACCGGCCTCCACCTTCCTCTTTCAGCATGCCCTCCATTCTGGCCGTAGCTTACGCTTGCCTCATAACCTATATGCTGTCGCATCACCACATCAACATCGCTTGTTACACAACTGTTTACGTTAGCTACCTGCATGTTGGAAGGCTCCAAAACGATTCACCATCATCTTATTCTTCGTTTCACTGCCAACACAACTGCATCAACATTTTTATATACTTCCCATTTCAACCAATGTCATGATTCTGGTTTGTCGTGTAAAGACCGTGTTGAACTAAACGTGCGTGGATGATCAGCATGCGAAGAGCCATCAGTAGATATGACGTACGCGAGGGAAAGGTATGACTCTGAGTACTGAGACCAGGGTTGTTCTCTATTATGCGAAGAGTGTTCCTAGTGGAGTGACGGGTTCTGCCGCGTCGGGGGACTGAAGGGTGGCACGTGGCACAGTTGATGGACAAGATAATTCTCAACAAGCTCTCAGTCCGAGCTCCTCTTGGTGCATTCCAGTGGCCAAAACCCGGGTCGGAGGAGCTATCACAACCATTGGTCATATCAGCCGCAGCACCTCTCTCAGTCGAATTAGCGGCATCGTCAGACTCCCTGCCTAACTCCGTGAACTATGGCACCCTTGCAAAATTAATTGAAAGAGTGGTCGCTGGAATACTTCCAGGCGGCGAGATCAACTCTCTCGAGACTTTGGGATACGCACTTTGCACGGACTGCCTGAAGACGTTCCCCAACTTGGACGAGATCAACATCGAGGTCGAGAAGCCTCGAGCTCACTTGTATGCCAAGGGTGCTGGAATCAAGATGACAGCTCAAAGGGGCGATGTCACCTGTGGAGACGTCGCAAAAATCGCTGCCTCTCGTTTTTATATTCGGGATCTTGAGTTTTTCACTGTTATTGGAATCAACCCTGGGAGCGAGTCACAAACAGCTGATCCGTAT